TTCCATCATTATTGTTATTCTAGTGAAAGTGGGCAGGTAGATTGGTCGACTAGATCGTGGTGGACTGAAGGTCAGAGGAATCCATACACGGCCAGGTTTTTGTTAGCTGACAACTCCCAAGGCAGCACTAATTTACTTTTAACTCACAGTTTTCAATAAAGGCCACCGGTTGCTGTTTGGGATAAACTAGATGCAGATTTCTCTGTCTGCCTTGATCTGTCAAGAAGTTTCAGACACTTGTTTTCACAAATACACAAGTTAAACATTAAAAGCAAGTGAGTATGAATTGTAAGTCCTGCAAGTTCCCTAAAAAACAAAATAGGTTATCTGCTAATGGCCTCCTAAACTACCCTTGAGACCATGACAAAAAACAACAAAAACAAATTATATGTCTTTAGATCCCTCTGCTGTTGGGTTTTTTTTTTTTTCTTCTTCTTCTTTTTTTAATGGTAGATGACAAATCAGACCGTGGCATGTACCAATAACCAAACAGCCAAGACGAACAAAGCTGGGGTTTTATAAATTACAAGTGTAGATCTACGATTTTCTTAAATGTAAGAAGGGATTATTGTCATGAAAAAACTTCTAAATATGTAGCTTTGATACACAGACATGATGTTTTTTAAACTATCAGCGAGGGACTTAAAGGAAAGGTCGTTATTGGTAGTGACTGTAGGCCGAACAATGAATCCCAACATCATCCTTAAGATCAATCCAAAGGTCTTGAGATGCAACAGCAGTTTTTACCTCTTCTCCTGAGACAGGATAGTAAGTCACTTGATGGTAAGGTGTTACCTGTTAGGACAACATCACTGTAAGTCTATTTTAACAAGCATTTCAACAAACCTCAAAGGAATTCTTACATATATTCACTAATTTAATAGACCATGTTAGTGCTTTGTTAATGTTTCAACCCTTTAACTACAAATTTACAAGTCTTCACTGCTTTACATTTCATACATTTCATACATTTCTATTGAGTATTTTGCAAGGCAGACAAAGTGTTCCACGTTGATTCCTGGACAAAGCTGTGACGTGGTCACCTGCTGGGGAAGTTGCAAGTGGTGATTCTTTAGACTTTCGAGCATCTCAAGGTAGATGGATGTTCCATGATTTTAATGAGATCGTTGTCTTGAAGACAACCAGAGAAGAATGCCCTCCAGACCTGTCTGCTTGGATTTGCTAAACACCTTTTCTCTCTCTTGTTCACTCTATCCCATCCTCCCAATGGTGTGTGTTGCACTGCAGCATTCAGTGGATTTTGAATCAAGCAGAGCAGCAGGTGTTTGCTGGAAGAAACAGTGACACATGGATGCGCCCTGTCAGACTACTCATTAGAGACTCTGCACCTCCTTTGTCTCCTCATTTAGATGGGAGAAGAGTGCACATACACACAAACACACGCGCACACATATACAAGTGCACCAAGCAGCAGGTGGCCACAATCAGCTGGACAAATCAAAGCAGGCAAAGTCAACACCAGCTCATTGGATGTAGGAACAAGAGAGAAGTAGAAAGTATTTCCAAGTATTACGAGAGTTTAGAAGTTCTCATTTGTTTTGTTTTTTTGTTCTTGAACCGTGTAACTTTGTGTCTTCTATTTGTGACATTCATGGCGGAAGTGAAAGTGATGTGTGTGACTGTGACAGTCACGTCAGGCATAAAGAGAACTCTTTGGGGAAGGCAAAGCATATGGTAGAGGCTACGCATGAGGAGGGTGTTAATTGATGAGAATTAGTTCACTGTGAGTACACACATAAGATATGCGGCGATAATACGTGCTGCATGTCTAATTTGTGGTACACCCTAAATGAGATGTCAGTTAGTATTAAACTCGTGGGTTTTGAGGGCCTTTACCCCCCCTCCATGTTATATTACAGTATCACAGCTATCTGCTGCATCGAACACTAACGCTGATTAAAAACAAAGATGCCATTTTGTGTTATCACACCGTTACATCAAATGGTCCACGTGGAGCGCACGCATATTTTTTCATATATTTAAAGTGGGATTTGCCATGATAAATTAGATACTTCTTAAAGCCTTGGGCATTTTATTTGAATTTAAAATACAGGTCTGTGTATTTAAGGTACATAGTGACTACTACTTGGTAATTTAGGTACACTAACAGAAGCTTTAATGTATCCCACTGGAAAAGTTAGCTTTTTTTGTTTTGCCTTCATAATTATTTCCCCCAGCATTTGGATATGAGGTGTCGCGGAGTAGAGTCCCTGCTAATTTCTTGGCTCCATCATCAACTCTTGGCCCAGCTAGAATAGAATTAAAGCTTAACATTATTAAAGATTAACATTAGGCACTTGAAATGATGTTAGAATTGCAACAAAGATCAAATAGCATCCACAGTCACACTTGTGACATTGTCTCTTATCGTTGTGTCGTCTTGCATGTAAACAGCTATCCGGCTGGCTGAATAGAAATGTAAAATCCTCTATTTGTTATGCGTGTCAGTGATGGGATTAAAATAGCATGGGGTAGATTTTATAGTGCTCATCAGCATCTTGAAAGTGATGTATCTGACACAAAAGTCTAAAAAGCCTGTATGTCACTTTAATTTCTTTCTCATAGTATGTTCTAAAGATTGAGTGTTTGATGTGAGAGTTAATTAATAAAAAAAAATTGTGAGAATTAATAAACAAAAATGGCCAAAAAAAAAAGTGGATGTAGACACATCCAGACTCTAAGTTTGGTCAGACTAAAAACACAGTATCATTCCCATAGTGAAACTTGATCCGTGCCTTTTGAAAGCCCATGTGTGTTTTCACCGGCTGACTCATAATCCTTCTTACTAGAAAATTGAATATGACATATAAAATCAGTGGAGTGCTGAGGAACTCTTTCTCCGCTATTACAAGCGTAATCATCTATGTTAATACGCACCAACTTCCACTATCAACAACCGTTTTCTGTTTTTTTTTCCCCCCCACATGGCTCCAGTCTCATCTATCACAACATGGCTCCCCTCCCTCTCTGTTTGTCGGCCATTTTAGAAATCTTTTCTCCTCTTCCTCCACTTGTCTCTTGCCCAGTTTCTACGAAGCTCCGGTGCTGCACTGTTAATAGACACAGGAAAGGAAAGAAGAAGAAGAAAAAAAATAAAAGAAAATGCCAGCACCATCCACATTCACACTTTCTCATCCGTCTATATTCCCTGCCTCTATACCCTGTTGTCTTTCTTCCTCCTCTCTTTTTTTTTTTTTTTTTTCCTCCTCCTCCGGCACACAACCTCTTTATAGCCCTCCTTGCCATGCTGCGATAATTAGTCAGCGCTAAAATAATACAGCCTCAAGAAAACAACAAGAGCTGAGCAGAGGGCTTAACTCCGCTGGGAGGGAAGGAGGAGAGGAGGAGGGAGGAGGGAGGGGCGGTGAGAGCCAGAAAGAGTGAGAGGCAGAGAGGAAGCGAGAGAAAAGGGAGGAGAGTTGTATGTGTCAGCCGATTTCAAATGGCTACCAGCGGATTGTTAGATAATGAAAGTGTCAGGTAGCTGAGTGAGTGTGTGCGCATGTTTGTGTGTGTGTGTGCAAGAAGACCGCACATCTCCATTCTTTTTCAGCCGGATTTTTCCTCGCGTATGACTGGGAGTGTGCGCAGCCCGTTGCTGTGGATGTTGTTTGATGGCCTGTTGGCCCTGCAGTTATCATAGCCTCTGCTTTCCGTCCTCTCTGACCGGAGCACACCTGAGAGATTTGTAGGACATGAAAGAACATAGGAATGTGTGCAGATGTGTTATTATAGGGGAACACTGGCACAGCATGAAACCCCGTGCTGTGTACATCTGATCAAGCTACAGTCCTGCAATACATTGATTAGTTAAACTGCCCATGATGTTTTCTTTTTGGTTAAATTCAACCAAGAACCTTTTGTAATTGTTACATCACCACCAAAATCTTGAAAATTCCATTGATTTGTGTGTTAGGGAGAGGGGTGGTGTTTGCATGAAAAAGACTCTGAGTCACTTGTTTACTTGTGTATTCATAGATGCACATCTATGTGCTATCCCATATCTACATTTACATGCATTAGACATACAGCCTGTGAGTATTTTTTTATTTATGATCCAGGGAGGACAGACAGCCCACAGGGTTGAGAGCAGTTCACTGTGGTTTCATTACTCTATGCTAATTACAGCCAACGCCCGTCATTTTTCATTTACCGCCGGGCTCATTGGAGCTAAGCCAAGTCTTAGCTCCTCTGTTACAGTTCAAACATGAAATCGCTCAGTGTATGGGGCGGGTAGATTTTTTTTTTTTTTTTAAAGCTGGAACTCAAAATACTGTTGAGGCAAAGTTCCTTTGACAGGGAGATCTGAGGAATTTCTTTTGTTGATGTTGAGAGGTGGTGGTTATACTGACAGCATAGCCAACACAAAGTTTGTCAGTTCGCCCCAGTTTGAATGCAATGCAACTGCAGGCAACTGAGGGCAAACGAAGCTGCAGTGGCTTGGCAAATTACCATTTCAAAGGCGAGTGACAGCCAGCGCTGGTGTATTACTACTGCTTAGGTCAAACGTGACTTCATGACAAAGATGTACACTGTCAATAACATAAATGTTCACTAGAATGAGTGCTTTCTTCTTTCATGTGTAATCATTTTAGAACGAGATGATCAAGCCACTGATTTTTAGACTCTGCTGAAATGCATTGAAGCTTTCTCATGTTTATGGCACAAAATCATATTTGTAATGCACTCTTTAAGTAGAGCTCAGAAGGAAGCTTTGTTTGATTTTAATTATGACCTGCAGATTATTTTCACAAAGTGTACAGCACAACAAAGGAATGTGTAACAGAAGGGAAAGCATGGACACTAATTAAAATGTTTTGACAGGACATTTCTTTGCATTCAACTCTTTCTTTTGCTTTATTTTCTGCTGTGGTACATATTGTGCATTTGTGTTTGAGAACACACTTAGAATGATTCTTTACAGCTTTTAAATCGGTATTCCTGTCTTAATAACTCTCCTTTCCGCCTATGTTTTGCAGCTGGGACAACTTACATCTTCGGGCGAGGCGGAGCCCTCATCACATATACCTGGCCACCCAATGACCGGCCGAGCACACGGGCAGACCGGCTGGCAGTGGGCTTCAGCACGCAGCTGAAGGAGGCCATCCTGGTCAGGGTGGAGAGCGCCAAGGGACTGGGAGATTACCTGGAGCTGCACATAGTAAGAAACTGTCCTGGGGATATTGATGGGGGTGGTGAAATGATGAGGGAATGGGAAAGTACCCTCAGGTGCATTCAGTCAGATAAATCACTGGTGGGAAATCTAGAAAGACAGAAAGGCATTGGAAAATACCCTGCAAGGAAAGGTGAAAAGAGGAAAAAGTAGGGTGCAGAATGTACAAGCGAAAATGGGAAAGGACTCAGGGATGAAGAAAGAAGAGATCAACTGGAGGTCATTGATGCAGAATGAGTGCAGGGAAAGAACAGAGGCACTTTATTTGTGGTAGTGCCTGGTTTTAAAGAATGAAACTGTCCACAAGATCACACACTACATCTGTGCTGGCACGGATTAGGCTGATATAAATGCAATCCTGATACAGTATACGCATTGGTATATATTTGCTTCCGTCTGGAACCTGTAAGATTATGGGCTGAATTCCAGCTGAATTTGTGGGGCTTAAAGGATCATTCAGGACTGTGTTTTTACTTGGCTCCCTGTAGTGATGGTAATAATTTCAGTTGGTTTGTTTAAAACCTTTGTGACACACTGACAAAGCATTTCTAAATCTCAGGAATGTACTCAGTAATTACAGTGAAATTGGCATGGTGGCCAAAACTATGAAAATAAGACCTAGGTTGTAGAAACTGGGGGTATTTTTTAGGGCTGGACTTGTTTTTGAATATTAGACATCACTATCCAGTTTTTCACACGTAAAATTGGACAGCCAACTGCTCCAAGCCTTAAGAAATTTCCTTTAAATGTCATTTAAATTTTGGCTGTGTAACGCTTCCAAGGGTCAATGAGAGGAATCAGTGTGTGCACAGTCCAGAAAATGACTAATCACGCACCAGCATTTCTTTTTATCCCCTGTCAAAGTAGTTATTACCCTCATTTCCGCTTTTATTGCTTTCATATGTTAGGCTTAAAGGTCATTCAAACCCACCACTAATGATAACTTTAAATGCCAATTAAGGGACAGTAGGCATTTAAAAATGCATTTGCACAGCCTCTAATTGTCTCATTGACCCCTGTGCTTTCTCTACCCAATACATTACATTCATAGTCGTTCTGATGGTGGGGTTTCTGTTAATTATCAAGTAAGACCACACCTGGTGACTGATGCACTCATCATGCTGCTAGAGCCACACAATTAAACACTGTGTGTTGTCGGGTTCAGAACTACAGTGTTTCACTGTACCACCTGGTGGAGGTGATATCACAGTCTCCTGCAGTTTCTTACACTCACTTAAAATACGCAGTGATAAGACACTATCACTGCTATCTACACTTATCTACACTCAGCCATCTGTGCAAGTTGGTGTGGGTGTCTGTGTATGTGTGAGATCACACCACTCCAGCATCCCAGTGACCCCAATTTGTATGGGCCACCCGTGCCTGGAAGCGACAGGAACATAGTTGACCCCGGGTCGCTTCTCATCCAGTGCTCCGTAAACTGAGAGTGACAGAGGGAGGGTTGATGGGAAAGAGAGAGGGATAGGTGAAAGAGTAGAGGGGCCGAGCTGTTGGATGGACCAAGTAGGCCAAGGCCAATCTGAATGCTCTTGACATCAGTGATAAATAAGGATAATGACTGACTGTAATGATGTCAGATTGCACTTGTAAATGTAATAGACACAGCACATGATACTGGGGTGGAAGTGGTAATGTTGCAGAGTTCAAGTGTAGCAACTCTGAACTTTAAAGGGTCAGTTTCTGTCACTTGTGGTAATAATTCTGTTGATTTTTAATATTTAGAAGGCTGTTTGAAGGTTGAAGTTCACTTGTGACTAACCAATGGGCCCCATTAAATACCATTAGAGCAGCACAGAACAGCAATAGCAACGTCAGTTTTACCCCAATTACAAAAACTAACAAAGTTTCTCTTTTACCTTAAACGTATCCTCCCCCCTCCCCAAATACAGAATGCTTCATTCTGTTTGTTGAACTTTTAAATGTAATTTTCAAAGCTGTGAGCACAGCAAAACAAACAAAAAAAAATCACATTTGACTCCATTGAATGGGGGTGTTACAGTAACCCTCAAACCAGAACTATCAGTGCAACTACACATTTGCAAGCATTCTGGGTTATTTCTCTGTGTAATTTCAGTTAACTTATCCTTTAACTTGGATTCAACTTGTGGAGAGTTTGAGGTGAAACATAGTGAATTTGTTTTTTCCAACCTGAAGGAATGATGCTGTGTTTATCTCAGTCTGTCGCTCATGATCCCTCATCAGTCATTCTTTTGCTTGCTCTTCTCTCAAGTGCATATTCTCTATCTTACTTCTGTGTCTTTCATTTACTCCCTCATTCCCTCATGTCTGGCCCGTTCATTCCCTCTTTCTCTCCCTCTCACGCTCACATCAGTGCCTCCGACACACCAGCCCAGCTCCTCTGCTCCCATTGCAATTACATTTCATTTGCTGCCGTTCCTCCCGAGTCGCTCCCCTAAATGACTCTGTTCAGCCCGTGGTGGGTGTTTTGGTCCTGTTAATTATGCCTGTCTCTCTTTGAGGGGAGAAGTACAGGCAAATTAGACCTGAGAACCTATGAGCCGTGGCCCCATATCATCTCACCTGATGGAGGCCTCACGGACCCAATCAAACCACAAAATAGCTCCACGTTCAAACAGTGATGGTGGCCTTGAGGTCCAATACCTGGGGCCTTATTTGTTAGCTTTGGCTAGTGGTTCAAAAATACCATTCCACTTTTCATTCCATTTCGACTTGTCCCATGAAGTCTAATGGGATTACAAAGGTTCCTACCCTCACTGACATATTTTAAAGTTGACATGCACCAACCTAAGGAAGCGTAATGCCTTGTAGTTGACAAATCCACCATTACTTATGAAGCAATTAATTAAGGTTAATGTTAAGTTAATGGCTTTTCCAGTCCTGTTTTATTAAGTCAGTGGCCCACAGACTCAGATCACAACAACGTCTTGTCATTACAGGAAATAGCACAACACTGATGGATGCTGTCTCTGCCTGTCTAACTAGAAATACTGGCACTGGTGGGCACAGTTGATAATAGCATGCCACCAGGATGTGATAGAGCATTATTTCTTATCTCACACGAACCACCCGTCTCTTTATATACCCTTCCTCCCTTACCAGGCTTCCTTCTCTTTCATGCCACTCCCCCCCCCTTCAATTCCTGTTCATTTACCTGACAGAGGGCAGGACATCACTCACTACATCTTCCTGACATGCTGTCATCAGGCTCCGGGCTAGGAGATGTAAAGTCGAAGTTGTGGGATAATGTGCTTAAGCTGAATCTGCTGACTGTTGCTGCTATACCCTATCCTCATAAGACCTTGTTTCTTGCGCCTTCCTAATTATTTACTGTGGGTGTGTCGGAAAGTGCTGCAAACTTTTTCAGTTGACATTTTGAGAGTTGTAGATGAAAAAAAGCTTTGAAATACGCTATCTGGAAAATGCCATAGGAATGAATCATTTCCGAGCAGACCAAACATGACTGTGTATATTGCTGTTGCGGTGCGGTATTGCCCATATGTCTGTAAAGATTCCCTGTTGTCTAGGTCGGAGAATATCAAGTAGTAGTAAACAAAAAGCATCTGGATTTGCTGTTTAGTCATGAAAAAATAGGTGCTTTTCGTCAGTCAAACTTCATCAGATCTACTGACTGGTAGAGAGTTCCTTTGCATCTAATCACCTGCAGAAGTTAAATATGACATAAGTCCCCAAGAGTCAGTAGAACTAATTAGATGAATGGTAGGATATTTCCAAGAATACTCAATAATCACCTTTGACTCACTGTACTCACATGAATGTATGGGTAACTTGTTGCTTGATTTGTAATCCCCTCAATCTCAACATAGAATTCTTTGTATTAACAGCTGTTTTTGTGATTGTTCAGTTACTCTTGTGGGTATAATACGCCATTGTTAGAACTACTTAGGATTCCACTGATGCCTTTTTTTTTAACCACACATTCAGACCTTCAGGATTGGACCTTTCTCAAGTCTCATCCAGCACTGTTTAAAAATATTTTTCCCTTGATGCCATTTTTTTTGTGATGTGTCAAAAATATGTATCCACATATCCTTGCCATTTGCTGTACTGCTTCCCAACTCACTAATTTTCAGAAAGTCAACCATATGTTTATTAGATGGGACTGGACTCATCATCTTGGTAAACTAGAAAATGGAGGTGAGGCTTCAAACATGTTGTGAAAGGGTTGTATTTTAACCCAAGCCATGAAATTTTCCATGGTGCCCAACCCTAAGCAAACAACAAGGAGGAAAATTAAACTTAAAAATAATGTCTCACACAGATCATGAATCCTGATCTCCTTGGGTGAAAGTCCTGCATGGGACTAATGCCACTGCTACCCCTTCATCCTCCTTACACAGACTTTGTGGCATTTTGATCGTGGAAACAGTTACTACTACATATTACTGTTACCCTACCAGGAAGATATACGCTTCTTTAAATATGTAATTGACGATACAGTGTCAATTATAGGAACATCATTTTTGGGAAACAGCGTTGTGTCATGACATAACTCAAGTACAAGACCTCAGACTTGTAATAGGTTTTAGTTACGTGCATTCGTTCTTCTCTGGTTTGCCACTAACGTTGCCGCCTTAACAGTTGATGCTGTAACCAGTTTTGTTCAGGAGTTTCTAAGGAAATCCATGATTAAGGTCCACTGTCTTCAGGTGAACTAATGACATCTGAGCAAGTTGGACTAGCTGAGGTTGTTTAGGTTGTCTGCTTTAAGAGTTCTCACCACAGAAAAGTGTCACCAAGGTGGAGAACAAATCTCCATAGTCAAGAAAATCGAAACGCTTGATGGGTATAGTTCTGCATTGTAGTTAATTTACCTCTAAAATGTGGTGCAGATTCATTAGTGAAGTTTTTTTTTTCTTCCCACAATATTGAACATACCCTTTGGTTTCACCTCCCACAACATGAATTAAATAGGAACAGGGACTGCTTCTATTTCTCAAGTTAGAATTTCCATTTTCTTCAATTTA